TCTCTCTCTCTCTCTCTCTCTCTCTCTCTCTCTCTCTCTCTCTCTCTCTCTTGGGCATAACTATTATACAAATAAATTACCTCGCTTTGGTGTGTAAAGCAAACAAGAAAAAGACCACACTGGTTTTATGAAATCTGATAACATTTGCACTCATTTGATGGAGTCTGATAACATTTGATTCATTTTCAGCCATGGCACTTGTAGCTTTTTGCCTTGAACTTTCTTCGCTCATGATCGTAAAATCAATGATGCGATGTGCATGTCTCTCCGTTTCATGCGCTGATATTTGAGTGCGCGCGCTCGTTTCTGGCGAAAAAAAACTTATCAAGCTCTTCACTTCTTTTCTTGTCTGAGAGAAACTGTTTAAAATTCATGATATCAGAAGAAAGAACATTTTATACAGGGTCTTGGTGCAACTGAGATTAATGTTTGTGTGTTCTTAGATCTTCCTATGTGTGGGTCTGTTTTAGCTTAAGCATTTTATTTATATCATGGGTTAGCGATTAATGCGCTTTGAGCATTTTTTTAGAAAATGGAAAAGCGCAGCATAAATGCTATTTATTACTATTATCAATTGTTCAATTATGTGTGTGACTGGGTTTGTTTGTGAGTGTAAGCCTTAAGTGTGTATGTGTATAATTATGTGCGTGTGTGGGAGAGAAGATAAGTGAGAGAGTATGGGTGTGTGCGTATGTCTGTTTGTGTGTGTGTTTGTGTGTGTTTGTGTGTGTTTGTGTGTATTGTATGTGTGTGTGTTCGTGTGTGTGTGCACGCGCGTTTGTGTGTGTGAATGTGTGTGCTTGTGATGAAATTCATCTTATCTTATCTTATCTTAACTGATCTTATCTTAACTTATCTTTTTTATCTTATCTTATCTTATCTTATCGTTTTTATCTTATCTTATTTTTAATAGGCAAGCAGACAGGCAGGCAGATTAGTTATTATTACATGTTTGTAATTGTGGTTTTACACAAGTTAGAACAATATAAAAACAATAACTATGAGGAGAATAGAAGGCATTCTGCAGTCCGAGCCGGCTCGAGCTTGGCACCTGCTGGTGTTGATAAAACTCCCGATTACCGTCACAGAAGCAGGAGATACAAGCTGATAAAGGTTACAGTTATTCGGAATAAAGTATTCGTGATAGGCACTGTATTTTGTCAGATATAGAAAAGGGCTTATAGTTACTCTGAATAACGTAGAACTGAGCAGACCTCGGTGAAGCACCCACACACAGCCCACAGATTCACCCAGAGACAGAGAGAGAGAGAGAGAGAGAGAGAGAGAGAGAGAGAGAGAGAGAGAGAGAGAGAGAGAAAGAGAGAGAGAGAAAGTGG